TTTTACACGTTTAGGCATAGTATCTATAAATTTCTTAATTTTATCGAATGCAATACTATTCCATGCTGTAATAACTGCCTCTTCTAAATCAGATTCGTTACGTGGTTTTTGGTTTGCATAGATCCAGATCTTGACTTTCCTCCATATGTTTTCAATAGGGCTAAGATCTGGTGATTGTGGAGGCCACTCCATTGTCTTGATTTTAAGTTCAGACTTCATTTCTTGCACAAGTTTACACTTGTAAATTGATGCGTTGTCTTCTTATAAGATTGTCCCCTCAGTAGATAGAATTATTGGGCAAACAATATACAAAATAAGATCTCCATACTCTATTCCTTTTATATTAGATGAAGTGTGAATTAAATGACACAAATCATATCCATTTATATATCCCCAAACCATAATTGATTTGCGTCCACTCTTAACCATAGCTTGTATACAATTTGAATCATAAAGTTCATTTTTATGACACCAAATTCTAATTTTTCCACTTGAATTGATACTTATTGAAGATTCATCAGTCTACAAAACTTGTTTTCAATCTTCTTTAATCCAATTCTTGTGTGCTCTAGTCCATTTTAAATGTTTTTGATAATTAGCTTCACTTATCATGGGTTTCTTATGTGTCACATAAGATTTTATACTATTTCTTTTTAATGCCCTCATTAAAGTACGTGTGGACATAGGGGTTTGAGTTCTATGTGAAATTTCAGTAGTAAGTAAATGTTTTGGCAATTTTCGTAATGATGGATCAATTTTAATTTCTCTTATAATTCGACGCTCAAGATATTTATCAATAATTGGTTTGTGTCTACTATTTCTTCTTTTTAAGTAGCTTGTGTGGTTGGTTAATTTCCATCGGCCAATACAATTTTTAATGGCTGTTGCAGTCCGATTATTCAGGAAATTTTCACACAAGACATGCCTTCTTTTTTAAGTGTCTTTATCATGTGATGTTCCTCTTCTATCAAATCTTTTTTATGACCCATTTTCATATATTGCATGAATTTTTATATCAATACTTATTTAAATAAATAAACAAGACAAAAAGAAAAATTTTTTATTATTACGAACTATCATGTAAGTATATAACTAATGCTTTATTATTATGAATTAGATTTTCGTTTGTGTGTAATTATTTCGCTATCACCCTAATGCGGTGTCACCCGTCTGTACATATTGTGTATTCGAAAAATATATAATTAATATTGATCAAACAGAGAAAATATTATATTAGAGAGAATATGTAAATTTATAAAATCTCGTGCAATATACAGTATATCTACATAATAAAAAAATCACATCATAGTAAATAAAATTACAACATTCTATCTCACAGCTTAGAGCCAAAGTGCAAAGCTATGAGGGAAATGTAATGTTGTTCCCTAGATCGAATTTAGAGGTAACCAGAATTTCCTAGAATTTTTCGTACTAATGAAGTTCAAATCAAATACCTACAACGAGTTTGTCATCATGTGAAAGTATTGCTTGCTTTTTTTTGTTCATAGAGTAAAAAAAAAAAAAAGAGAGAGAGAGAGAATAAATATAATCTAAAGTTTTGTTATAATCAAATATTAAACATACATGTTACCAAATCCTTTTATCAAATTGGGTTTATAAAATCATGTTACTGTATACAAGAGAAAATATATCATGGGAATATACTCTTTCAAATACTGTATATTGACGGGAGATAAATGTTTTCTTTAACATGCAACCCTAATTTAACGTATCATATAATATGCAAAAGAGAGTGTATATGTATGCTGTAAGAGAAGTCGAATAACACATAATAATTACAATCGGGGATTGAATTTGTGCAAATAATGTTTCGTCTATGATCCTGAAATTTACCTTCACCTTCATTTTTTGGGACTTCTTTTTTGCGGGTCTCTCTTAGAAACAGACGTCGTTGTAGCATTCTGAATATTGCACAAATTTACCCATTCCTCAGGCGGCTCCATTTGTGCGATGAGGTCAGGCAGTTCAACAAACTGGGCTACCAGTCCTGCCTCGACATGCCACTGCAAAGGAAATTGATTTAGCGTCGAAGAAACGGTGACAAAAATATTTTCATAATTACCTCAATATGACAATGGAAAGCCCAAACTCCAGGACTGTCAACAATAAACCGAATTATTGCCCACCTGACAATGTGAAAGCAAAAAATTATAGTTCAAAGTTGAATTTGTAAGATGGCATGAAATTCCACTTACCCAGCTTCGGGAACAGTTACGGTATCACGTTGAATCGGATCAATGAAATTTAAATTTTCTGGTGATATGC